TTACGTTGGAGATACATCTGCATCTGCTGGTCCATATTGCTTTTTAGTTGTCTGCAATTAACTTCTGAATTTTTGTCTAGGTTATTTATCGAATAAAACTTCCTGGACCTGCTATATTGGGAGAAGGAAAGCCAGAGAATCAAAACCACGCGATAATATTTACTCGTGGGGAAGGATTGCAAACAATAGATATGAACCAGGTATCTGATAGAATTCTCATTTGCTATGAGAAAAAGTTGGTACGTTTGGTTTGACACATTGTTACCTTTTTAACTATAAGGATAACTACTTGGAAGAAGCCCTCAAAATGAGGAATTTGTTGCAAGAATTTTTGAAAAAGAATGGAGTGAGAAATCCGACTATTCTGGGACTACGGGAGCATATTTTCACTGGCAGGTATCGAGATGGACTCTTCTATAGAACCAATAACTTTTGTTGCTACGATGGGGTTGGAGAAAAGACTTTACTTGTGCATGCAAATTTTATCTTGCAGTAAAATGTATGTTTCCTTATCAGTCATCATTTTGTTTTTCTCTGTGCAGTGTTTCTTCACTAGCATGGTTTATGTCAAATCAGGAAACCAGCTTTGTCACAATTGGGCAAAGATTGTTGGCCAATCCATTGAAGTAAGTAGCCAAGAATATTTTGTGTAGGACATGAAGTTCCGAGTCTTTCATTTTCAGTGCCAACTGGAACTGTTAATATGCTATTATTCCCCCCTTCTCCCTGCTCTTTTTGTTTTTTGTTCTGTAAGTAGCCTATCTATGACGGCAGTTTCTTCGCTAATGCACTGAAATCTCTTCCGCACCTCCCAGTTAATCTTCATTTCTCCTCACTCTTACCAAGTTCCGCCCATCCTCCCTTGTGTAGCTAGAAGCTGAATGTCTGTTATTCAGCACTTGAACTCCTTTTCATGTCTAGGCCTAGCTGCCCAGGCCAAAAAGGTCAAAAAGGTTTTACTGATATGAAGCTTCGTCTATTTTTCGATACTTTGTCTCAGAGTACGTTTCCACTATGGTCATCCTGATGTATTCGATAGATTGTTTCATTTAACAAGAGGTGGTGTGAGCAAGGCTTCCAAAATCATCAACCTAAGTGAAGACATATTTGCCGGTATGTAAAAATCCATAAACTTTAACATGTAAATCCTGTAGCTTTTCTTACTCTTACAAAATTTGATGCATCTCTCAGGTTTTAATTCTACCCTACGTGGGGGCAATGTTACTCACCATGAGTACATCCAAGTTGGTAAAGGAAGGGATGTTGGCCTTAACCAAATTTCTTTGTTTGAGGCAAAGATAGCTAATGGAAATGGTGAGCAGACAATGAGTCGTGATGTTTACAGGCTTGGACATCGATTTGATTTCTTCCGTATGCTATCCTGCTTCTTCACCACTATAGGGTTCTACTTTACTACCTTGGTATTTCCCAACTGCTTCTCCAGTTTAGTCTTTCATGATCCTAACCGGGTTTATTCTCTTTATAGTCCTATCTAAATGTATGTCTCTGCTTTGGCAGATAACCGTCGTTATTGTGTATGTATTTCTTTATGGTCGGCTGTATCTTGTCGTAAGTGGCCTTGAGGAAGGATTGAGTTCGCACCCCGCTATTCGAAATAATAAGCCTCTTCAAGTTGCTCTTGCCTCTCAGTCTTTTGTGCAAATTGGCCTATTAATGGCGCTGCCGATGATGATGGAAATAGGCCTTGAGAGGGGCTTCCGCAATGCCTTAACTGATTTTGTGCTGATGCAACTACAACTTGCTCCTGTTTTCTTCACATTTTCTCTTGGAACAAGGACCCACTATTATGGGAGAACATTGCTTCATGGGGGTGCTCAATACAGAGGCACTGGTCGTGGCTTTGTTGTATTTCATGCCAAATTTGCTGAAAACTATCGTTTGTACTCCCGAAGCCATTTTGTCAAGGGAATTGAACTGATGATTCTACTTCTTGTCTACCATATATTTGGTAGATCATACAGAGATGTTGTGGCATATGTTCTTATAACTGTATCTATATGGTTCCTCGTTGTTACATGGCTCTTTGCCCCCTTCCTGTTCAATCCCTCTGGATTCGAGTGGCAGAAGATTGTGGATGACTGGACAGATTGGAATAAATGGATGAGCAATCGTGGTGGTATTGGTGTATCGCCAGAAAAAAGTTGGGAATCTTGGTGGGAAAAAGAACAAGAACATCTTTATCATACAGGAATTCTTGGCACTGTAGTCGAGATATTGTTATCAATGCGCTTTTTTATATATCAGTATGGACTTGTATATCACCTCACAATTTTGAACAATGAAACAAGTTTTCTGGTATGTCCTTAGTTTGCATAGCTATTTGCAGAAATGATCTGCTGAAGTAATCAAGTAACTCCTGCTTGTTTCTTGCTGCATAAACAGGTTTATGGTGTATCATGGATCGTCATTTTCTTGATATTAGCAGTAATGAAGGTGAGTTCCCACAAGTTTCAGTTGCTTTCTATATTCATTGTTAAGTTCCAAAATCTCACATGGTTAAGTTCCTAACCCACCGACATATCTGTAAAATCTTCGTTCTTGACTCATTCCCTTGACCCAACATGTAAATGAGTACACCTGCTTTTGCTGTCCCAGTTGACCCAAATTTGCTAGTTGCGCATTTGAGTGCATACGCTGATTAATCTTTTGTCTTGCTTTTCTTCATTCTTTGCAGGTTGTGTCTATCGGAAGGAGGAAATTCAGTGCTGATTTTCAGCTCGCATTTCGTTTGATCGAAGGCTTCATTTTCCTCTCATTTGTTGCCCTCCTCATTTCTTTGATTGCTATTCTACACCTGAAATTTCGCGACATTATTGTTTGCATTCTTGCTTTCATGCCTACCGGATGGGGAATGCTTTTGGTGAGTGCCCATTTGTTTGTTGCCTTTTGATCTTTCTTTTGTTCTTCCGGAGTTTTAATTATTTATTCTGCTTCTTTCAGATTGCTCAAGCTTTGAGGCCTTGGGTTAAACGTGCTGGCATCTGGGCATCAGTTCGGACACTTGCTCGTGGTTATGAAATTATTATGGGTTTGCTCTTGTTCACACCAGTTGCATTCTTGGCTTGGTTTCCATTTGTTTCGGAATTCCAAACTCGAATGTTGTTCAACCAAGCATTCAGTAGAGGTCTGCAGATTTCTCGTATTCTTGGTGGACCGAAGAAGGATCGTTCCTCTAGCAACAAGGAGTAGTTCTCACTGCTATAATACTCATTTCCAGACCGCTGAAATCGTTGGACATCTTGAGGCTATAGGATGATATATGGACAGAAGAATATCTTGTAAATAACATAAGTAACTTAGTTAACGTATATCTTCTTGTAAATATATGAGGAACTTAGTTTATGTATAAAGTTTCAAATAGCTTGTGTGTACATGATATATGTAAAATCACAGGAGAGGGCTCAATTATTGAAGCTAGTTGATGGAACTTTTTCATTTTTTTTCTTTGTGCTGAGGGTCCATCAGATATAGCCTCTCTACCTGCACAAGGTACGGGTAAAGTTGCGTACTTCGCAGAGCCTGCTTGTGAGATTATACTGGGCAATGTTTTTTTAGGTGATGGAAATTTGAAATGGAGGTCTTGGTCCTTTTGAGTCCTTTTTTAAGTTCTCTTCTAAAAGTTTTTTGTCTACTCCCTCGTGAATTCAGAGAATGCTTTGTGTAAAGTTTTTCAAGTCCTTGTCACCTAGTCTACTTATTTCAGTATTGTATGCCAAGTTTTGTTTGTTTGACTAAAGTTTCAAACGTGCATACTGCTTGGTATTTGGTAATCTTTTATTTTATTTTATATCTTACTTCATGTCTAACTCTACTAAGAAAGAAACAGTATTTTTCTCTTATCAACTTTAGAGCTCTCTCTTCACATATTCAATATTTCAATATTATCGTTCTCTTAATTTTCACGAGAAAAAAAAGTGGAGTAAGACATATCATATATACATATATATATTTTTTTTTCCTTGTTGATTTTGAAAATAGTTAATTTCCGTGGTTAAGTTGCAAAGTTTGTTGAAAACTTTCCTAAGTAAACTTTTACACCAAATGAGAAACTTATTATCCATAATGATTAATGTGTATTCTACTCCACTCTTACCTCGTAGCACTTACTCTTTTCAACATGCAAATATTTACTCTATCGTAATGATCATCAAACCCCATACTTATGTCTTAATTACTTCCAACACTTTTATGTTCTACCAATATTATACTATTTCAAAATTCGACGAAAGAATTAAAAGATAATTCTTGTACACAAGTCTTGTACGTATAATAGCCTGTTTGACCAAGCTTTTTTTGGGCCAAAATTGCTTCGGCCAAAAAATTAGGTGTTTGGCCAATCATTTGGAAGGAAAAAAGTACTTTAGAGGATAAGCAGAAGCAGTTTTTGAGAAGCAAAAAAATTGCTTTTTTCTGAAAGCACTTTTCTGAGAAGTACTTTTCAGAAAAATATACTTAGAAGCAATTTTCAAAGTTTGGCCAAATACTAATTACTGCTCAAAAATATTTTTTAATTAATTAGTCAAACACAAATTGCTTTTCACTAAAAATATTTTTTTAAAAAATAATTTTAACAAAAACACTTCTCAAAATAAACTGATTTTAGAAGTTTGACCAAACAGGCTATAAAACCTTTATTTTAGAAAAAGTTAAGACAAAAGACGCCTAATTACCAAAAAAAGTGGGTAATCGGAGTATATCATAGTTAGACTTTGGCCCCACTTCAGAACCAGCTGATGCGCATTCTTCCATATTTTATCTCATGCTTTAGCGTCATCCACGTGATTTCCACGTGCCTCTCCTTCCTCTTTCCTCTCCTCTTTTCCACATAACCCCATTTCCACTTCACAAAAAACATGAATCCATCTCCCACAAGATTTTCCAACTAAAGTTTCACCGGTTTTTTCACTTCAAATTTTGGTAAAATTTTCTGGGTACTATAATTTTTAGTCGAAAATTCACCAGCCGACTGGTCAACGATCATGAACCAGTCTCAGCTGCTGAACCGGAGTTACCACCCTTGGCCACCCCCACGTCCCACAGTGATACCCGAAAATCAAACCGCGCCGGTTTTTTCACAAGGACCTAGTTATGCTCCAGGGAACGTAAACCGGAGTAATTGGAAAACCTACCGGCCGAACAACAAACCGCGCCGGTTTTTTCAAAAGAAGAAACAGAGACAAAACTACCGTTTTACCCCTTTCACCCCGCACAACACGACGTCATTTCTAATCCGTGCAAAAAAATCCGGCGGAATCGCCTCTTTGGTTTCCCCATATCCGGTGACTCCGGCTGTTCTACCGACGCCGAAGTTTTCTCCGGCGAGGGAAGTTTTAGCTGACGTGGCGAAGGAAGAGTGGGGTGTAGACGGGTACGGGTCGATGAACGGGTTGATCCGGGTCAGATCACCGGAGAATGAACATGAAGAAGAGGATGAAGGAGAAGGAGTTATTGTTTCGTGGGACAGTGATGTTGAGGAAGTGGAGAAGAGATTAAGCCATGATTTGAGCCGTTTTGAGATGATATATGACCCGAGAGAAGGCGGGTCGGGTCGAGATGCGTATGGGTTTGGTTACAGAGTTGATGAGGTGGAGGAACATATTGAGAGATTGGAGGAAGAAAACATGGAGTTGAAAGAGAAAATGTATGTAATGGAGAGGGAGTTGGAGGAGTTGAGGAAAAAGGTTCGGTATTTGGAAGGTGGTGAAGATGAAAATGGAAACGGGTCGGAAAATGAAGCGGGTTCTGAGAGGTAGGAGATTGAGGTGCCCGCAAGCTACTCCGAACACCACCATCGTAAAAACAAAAAAAGAAAAAAGTGTAGTAGATTGAGGTGGCCATTGAAGCAGAAGAAGATAAATTGTTATGAACTGTTTTCTTCTGGCTTTTGTATAGTTTTGTTGTTTCTAGGTTGGTAAGAGTGTAGATCTTAGGATGTTAATGTCGCTTCTCTTGTTAACTTTTGATGTGTAGAAGTAGTTGTAGTAGTAATCTTTTGATCTGACTAATAATACTTGTTGATTATCAATTTCATTAAGCTTAACTTTTGGGTTAGTTAGATGCCTAGTTTAATGCAAAAACCAGTCTTGATAATCCATGTTCAACAACAAATGTATGAAAAACCATATTATAAGGTGTTAAATAAGAATAGAGAAAAGCAAAAAGATGACATCTTTGGATTTGATGTCTCTCGTGTCATTTTGCTAACGTCCAGAATTATTACTGTCAAGAAATTGAAAAAGATGATAGCATAGATTGTGATAAATAGCTAGCAGCAATAAAGAAAATACAATGACAGATAAAAAAACATATACATATAACACCATTCAAACATAGAAATTAGTATTTCAAAAAAACATGTAATACCAATATTGAAACGCAGGGAAATCCAGAAATACTTCAATCAAATCAATATGTTCCAACAGATCATAGCAGCTGGAACTCAAGATATTACTCTCTGGCGCAAATCCTGAATGTGCAAGATTACTGAACTTTCATCTTCATCACTGTGGTGATGTTGAATGAAAGGTCAATAATAGTAATTATAACCGCGTGATGGCCCAACGTAGCTTGCAGCATTGTCCAGAGCTTGCATCATGAGCATGTGTTTCATATGTTGTTCTTTCAATCTGCGCTGAGCTTCATAATATGATAATTCTGACTCCTCTTCTTCTCCTTCGCCTTCGCCTTCTTCATTTTCTTTCGTTTTGACTGATGAATTCTCGTCTGGTGGCGATTCAGATACTGACTTCATTTTGGGATTTTCTCTAGGATTCTTGGCTGATTTTTTCTTTGTTGTCCTAACTGATGAACCTTTTATTGGTGCACTAATGACCGGGTCAATATTGACTGCTTTCTTGATCGGTTCTTCCTCTGGTTTCATGAATTCTGCATTTTCTTCTCCTTCATTTTCTTCTGGTTTATCTGTTGAAGCTTCTGCTGGTTCCTCGTCCAATGATTCAGCTACTGGCCTCATGTTGGGATTTTCTCTAGGACTATTGGCTGATATTTTCTTTGTTTTCCTAACTGGACTTTTCATTGGTGCGCTAATGGCTGGTTCATTGATTGCTTTCTTGATTGTTTTTTCCTTTAGTTTCATCACCACTGGATTTTCTTCTCCTTCTCCTCCATTTTTTTCTGGTTTCTCGTCCGGAGAATCTGGCTTCATTTTGGGATTTTTTCTAGGATTCTTGGTTGATTTTTTCTCTGTTTTTCTTATTGGACTTCTTGTTGGTGTACTAATGACTGGTTCATTGATTGCTTTCTTGATTACAGGATTTTCTTTTGGTTTGTTGACATATTTGGAAATTCCACATTCGATATGTGTTCCAAAATCACAATCAGCACAGTAATACAACCAGTAATTTTGATCCGTCTTTCCATGACAAAGATCACAAACAAAAATGGTGTTTTCATCCTCATCATCAAAAGGGGAACCAAATATAAGTTTAAGTTCATGATGGTGTTGGTCAAGTAAGACAGTTTGAGGCAGAAGAGCACATTTCAAGTGCAAATCGAAGTTACAATGAGCACAACTTAAGCTACATAATCTTCCTTCAGATCCACAGGCATTACAGGTAAAAGATCGGCTAGAATAAGTTGGAGTTGGAAGAAGAGTTAAAGGGTGAGAAGGATGAGAAGGGTGTACCAGAGAACGAGGCGCGTTGAGACAATTCTCATGGAGGTAGAAGTTGCAAGAGATGCAGCCATGAAATGGCTCAAAAATCAGTTGCTCACAGGCTTGGCAATGAAGTTTGTCGCCTTCATTAAGAACAAGGGACTTCAAAATATGGTGGTGGCTGAAATGTTGGTTATCTTGAAATTTCATGCCTCTCAATTTGCTTGTTCTATGTTTTTAATGTGTGGTTTCTTTTTGGGGGGGGGGGGGGGNNGGTTTATATGGATTTCTCGAAAATGAAATATGTGAATTTAGTACATCCACCATCAAGTTTTCTTAGTATTTCTTATTCTGGAAAACAGCTGACTTTTAGAGAATCTGAAGAGAACTCTGATCTTGGGAATTTTCAACCTAACACGCCACCTTAGGTAATATTTGCTGGTTCGACTGTGTTATTCGAATGTTGGAAAGAAAATAAATGAACAAAGCAACGGAAGAAAAGTAGCCAGCGGCAGAGTCTTATATGAATAAATAATTTTCGAGTCACACTGATTTTAATTTTTTCCCAAGTCTTCTGCAAGTAATTTGGTATGGTTCTGCAACTTGCTTGAATTTTTTCATCAATTAAGAACTAATGTTGAATCACTTATTTTAGGAGAGAGAGCTGTGGAGGGAGAGTACTTGACTATGTCTTAATAAGAGGTCGTTTGGTTCAAATATTAGTTAATTATGGAAAATTATAATGCAAAAAAAATATATATTCGGTGATTAATAATACAAAGATTGTTAATGTAGTAACTAATAAAAAAAAGTTGTTACACATATATTGCGTATTTTAAAAGGGCATTTTTGTCCTTATGTAATTTATTCTCAATATTGTTAATTAATACACGTTTAAGGGCACGTTTGGTTATAACACGTATAATTGTATAAGCGAATACAATCATGGTATAAAAATCGGTATTATCTTATAATGTTTGGTATGAAGTATATGTTATTACACTGTATTTGTAAAATAAATTCTGGAAATATAAATGAATATAAACAGTAATGAATATAAACAGAAATGACATAAACCAATTCGAGCCCACTGAATTCACAGTGTTTCCTTAAGGAATTTAATCCCCTCCTAGTACCCAAGGTTATGGATTATTTCCTCCCAGGATAGAACGAATTACACACTGGTGTAGTGGTACTTCAAACCCCAGTGTTTCAGCGAACGCAAAGTTCGGCAGCAAATCACACTTACTTTTTGCTTTGTTTTGATGCTAAAAGTATGCAGAAGAAGGAGAGGAAACTCAGAAAATTGTAGTTAAAATTCTGAGCAGAATAGTGGTATTTATAGCCAAAGTTGGGTCTCTTCAGAATGGCTGTTTATGCAAAACGCCCACAACATAAATGCCATTACATAAATGGCCATTTACTCAATAATAAAGAGGGAAAATAAAGAGGGAAAATTGAAGAGGGTAGTTACTTTTCTGTTACCAAAACAGAAAAACGGATTGGATTTAATATTAATATTTAATATTAATATTTTGTTATTAAAACAAATATTTAATAACATTTCTGTTAATATTTTACTATTAACAAATAAATTTGGTCCAAAAAGTTAATCAATCAATCGATCATTTGACCAAATCCAAATCCGAAGCCGAAGCCGAAGCCGAAGCCGTAGCCGTAGCCGAAGCCGAGCCGAGCAAGCGACGACGACGACGGCGCGAGGCTTGCCTTCTTCTCAACTCTTTAAGAGCTAGAAGAAGAGCAATTGCTTATATACCCATAAAAAACCTCTTCCTCTTCCAATATGGGACAATGCCCATTTGCCAAGGGAGGGGGAACTTAAAATTTCACTCAAAAATTTCATTTCCCTCCATTTCCCATTCACCCTCTTTTAAGTATTTAATATATTAATTAAATACCTTAAAAACCCAACAATCCCCCACATGAATGGGGAATGGCTATATCACGGAAGTATGCATGAAAAACTGTGTGATTCACAAGTAAGGATTAATTGCATCTGGATAAGTAGGTTTCCCTTTGAACTTTCCGTAGTGAACTTATGTCGGATATACTCGATCAATCGGTAGATTTGATATCTTTGAACCGTCGAACTTTAGTGTATACCTAGACAACCACAAGTCACACAACCAACCCTTAACCGTCTTTGGTTCTCATTGTTGTGTTCGTTTCAGCCATGAACACCGCCTGGTTTCATAAGTGCGTAGAGAACTGGCCTTGCTGTGTTCTCCTTGAAGCGGCTAACACTTCACACTTACATAGGTGATTCCTAAACGTGTCATCCCGTAGATACACTATTTGATATACCCTGTATCAAATTTAGAAATCATTAAAAAGCCTTAATGCTTTATCCTTGGTACTGAACATTGTCTCATCACGAGAATGGACCAAAAGTTTAGTTGACAATGTTGAACCGTCATAAATGACTTTGTTTGATCTCCTTGAACCTAGATCTTGGGATCTCCAGTCTTCTAGGTGGAGTTACCGCCGCTATGACTTGTTCTCGGCCACAGTCCCATTCCCCTTGATGACTTCTCAACTACCTCTCTAGTTAGGCCTTTTGTAAGTGGATCCGACACATTATCACTTGACTTTACATAGTCAATCGTGATAATTCCTCTAGAGAGTAATTGTCTAACGGTTTTATGTCTTCGTCGTATATGGCGAGACTTACCGTTATACATAGCGCTCCCAGCCCTTCCAATTGCCGCTTGACTATCACAATGTATGCATATTGGTGCCAACGGTTTGGGCCAAAATGGAATATCTTCCAAGAAATTCCGGAGCCATTCAGCTTCTTCACCGGTTTTATCCAAGGCTATGAACTCAGCCTCCATTGTAGAGCGGGCAATACAAGTTTGTTTGGATGACTTCCAAGATACCGCTCCTCCACCAATAGTGAATACATATCCACTTGTGGACTTGGAATCAGTTGATCCGGTGATCCAATTTGCATCACAGTATCCCTCAATGACCGCAGGATATTTATTGTAGTGCAAAGCAAAGTCCTGGGTATGTACTAAATACCCCAAAACTCATTTCATGGCCATCCAATGAGATTGGCCTGGATTTCTCGTATATCGACTCAATTTACTTATAGCACAAGCTATATCTGGTCGT